ACACATGTACACACACGTACACATGTACGCACGCACGCACGCACGCACGCACGCACGCACGCACGCACGCACGCACGCACACCGAGCACCTCAAACTCACCGTGCCGATTGTCGTCAGGCTACAAGGTGAGATGTCGCTATACGCATTTTCATGCATTTACATGCATTTACATGCATGTGCATGCATGTGCACGCATGTACATCAAGAGCTAATAAATACCTAGAGTGTACAACAGGAAAACGGGAAAATAGTGCTATTTCACGGCAATATTATTCTACTTTGTATGCGGTTCTAGACTAAGTTCATGGTATTGCGTTAAGCAGCATTCTTTGCTCTCTAAAATAAGACCAACCGCTTGTCTCTACGATACTCCTAGGCCGAGATATTAGAGTGTAATCATGCCTCCCACAGGCCTCACGCCGCCTCGCATCCACAATATTCACTATCCTTTTCGCCTTTTGCGGGTCTGGCTATAGTTTTCCGTCACGGCTTGGAGCGCTGATAATTGATGTCACATGCCCAAATTTGGTACTCTTACTACACTATATAGTAACTGATATAATTATATAAATATATAAATATAGAAATATAGTAACATATAGTAGTTGTAGAGATTTAATTTAGAAAACATTGCCGGCTCCATCATGACGGGCATTAGCCGTGCTAGGAAAGATAATGGGAGATAAGGGCATTGGCGATGCCCCCGAAAGTCACCGATGTTAACCGAAACGATGCCGAAACGATGTTGCCGTTCATTTATAAAGTTATCGCGGAAAAAACCTAACTCTCACGAAGCGACCTTCCTAATCCGCAAAAGGCGAGAAGGATAGTGAATATTGTGGATGCGAGGCGCCGTGAGGCCTGTGGGAGGGGAAGTTTACGAGCCAATATCTCAGCCTAGGAGTTTCGTATTGACAAGTGGTTGGTCTTGTTTTATAGAGCAAAGAATTCTGCTTATTGCAATACCATAAATTCTAGACTCGCAGGCAAAGTAGAATAATATTGCTGTGAAATAGCACTATTTTCCCGTTTTTCCATTGTACACTCTAGGTATTTATTAGCTCTTGATGTACATGCATGTACATACGTGTACACACATGTACACATATGTACACATGTACACGCATGTACACGTATGTACATACATGTACACGCATGCACACGTTATGGATGATATGGATATGGATGGAGCTACAACTGCTACTGCTGCTGCAGGTACTGTTGTTACTACTACTACTGCTGCTGGTGGTGGTGGTGCTGCTGCTGCCACTACTGCTGGTGGTGGTGGTGGTGCTGCTTCTGCTACTGCTGCTGCTACTACTGCTGCTACTATTGCTACTGCTGCTGCTGCAGGTAGTGTTGTTGCTGCTGCTGCTACTACTGCTACTGCTGCTGCTGCAGGTAGTGTTGTTGCTGCTGCTGCTGCTGCTGCTGCTGCTGCTGCTGCTGCTGCTGCTGTGTGTGTGTGAGTGTGCGTATTCACTGACCCCATCTCTTGTGTTGTTGCGATGCTCGCAGGCACCCACGTCGACAACGCCCGGGCACTGATAGCCGCCAGTAATCTACGAATACTCGCCTGCGACACCCTAGACGAGGCGGCAAGAATGGTGAGCACCACCCTCTCCCCTCCCCTCTCCTCTACCTTCCCTCTACCTTCCCTCCGAGAGAATCTTTCCCTCCCTCGTGGCAGAGGAATTTAATGTTTATAGTGCCTACCAGGTAGGGACACGTGGCCGGCAGCTGTGTCGTGATCGATTATGGGCGACTCGAGAGTGCGCGAGTGTTGATTGATTGCCTCCGTCGTTTAACATTCGTCGTTGGCTTTTCTAACTAATGAGCTGTCTGTTTGAGGTTATCTAGGACTATCTATCTAACTCGGAGAGGCCAGGGGTGGGTTGCCCTGCGAGGGTTTTAATACTTACGGTAGCGCAGAGAGTCTGGGGCGGGGGATTAAAACTAAAAAGTCACGCGGCGCTCCCACCCTTCCCTGGACGGTCAGATTTGCTGGCAGAAAAGTACTCGCGCACTTTTCCGACGCGAAAATTTAAGGGGAACGTTTTTTTTCTTTGTCGTCTCTTCGTTCGTTACTCGCTGCCGCCTATAGCGCGAAATCACGGAGCAAAAGTCTGCCGCGACACGCCCCGCGCTAATCCTTCCGCGCGCGGAAAACCCGAAAACTTTTGCCGTACGGTAGATATCAGCTGCTGCCTTCTACAGGGGAGGGGGAGGGGGAGTACGCTCGCGGGCATTTTTGATGTTTATAGTTACCACCAGGTGGGGACACGTGGCCGGCAGCTGTGTCGCGATCGCTGGGTGGGATGTTGATTCCTGAGAGAGACTGCCCGACGATCGCGGCCGCCGGCGAGCGGTCAGTAAGGTTCCCACGCTCGCGCGCGCACGTCGCAGCGGTCAGCGAATCACGACCTCTCGCTCGCGTTTGTCACACGCAGGCCGTCAAGTTGTCTCACATCGTCACGCTGGCGAGGGAGGCCGAGGTGGACGTCAACTTCAACCTGCCGATCTAGACGGGCGCCGCGCCCCGGGCCGCACCGGCCGTGGTCGCAGCCGGTGCTGTGGTGGTGGCAGTCTAGAAGCGAGCTTCCCCCTTCCGTCGTCGTCGTCGTAGAGGTTGGCTAGTCAGGCTTCGCGGCTCTGCACGCGCGACACCCCCCGCCGCTGATGTGAGCGCACTGGTGTCCGGAGTGTCCAGAGTGAGGCGTCGTCAATACCGCATACACACCCTAACCTAACCCTACTACTGCTGCTACATAGAGTACACACATAGAATACATAGGTAGTACTCTACTACATACAGTACATGCACCCTAACCCTGCTACCGCTGCATAGAGTATGCACCTTAACCCTACTACTGCAATATAGAGTACACATATAGAATACATAGATAGTACTCTACTACTTACAGTACACACCCTAAGCCTACTACCGCTGCATAGAGTACACACATAGAATACATACACTGACATAGATAGTACTCTACTACTTACAGTACACACCCTAAGCCTACTGTTACTATATAGAGTACACACATAGAATACATTGGTAGTACTCTACTACTTACAGTACACACCCTAAGCCTACTGTTACTATATAGAGTACACACATAGAATACATAGGTAGTACTCTACTACTTGCAGTACACACCCTAAGCCTACTACCGCTGCTACATAGAGCGCACACATCGGTTTTCGTGTTGATACTTAACACGTATCTGCATCATCATAGATTGAAGATGGAATTAGATCGAAGTGGCTACGCACGCGTCACTCGTTTTTTTTAAACTGACAACGACGCTGCATCTGCAACGAAAGTAATTATCCACAACAATTAATTCAGATATGTGCAGATTCCCTGCGAACTATCTCGTTAGCGGGGAGGTTTTTTTTAACGAGGATGCAATGCAGATCAGCACACAGTTCCATTGTTACGATGTTGTTTTGTTAATTTTTTTTTCTCGTTTGATAAAATTAAAGTTGTTTATAGCTTGTTACGAACAAAAGTTTGATGCAAAATTAGAAGTATATTGATTTGCGTTGGTAGCTAGGAGGAAAGGTATATCTTTTTGCGCTTTTTCTAAATTTTGTATCAGAGGTTTTGATACCACATGTGTTTTCCTCTCTGTAGCCGCTACTAACAAACGTACAGTGCGTTATGGCGTAAATGTAAATGGGAATCGAAAATAAAAAATATTTCATAGTATTTATTTATTTATAAGGTGGAAAAGGGTAATATTTTTTAATAGAGAATACACCAGCATTAATTCATGTCAGCACTATCTGGTTACATCGGGGTTTCATTATGCTACATACCATAATCTTCATATTTGTTAGGAGTAAATAAAACAATTTTTTTTAAATCTACCGAATGGTGTTCTTTTCTATCAGTGTTGGAGACAAAATTGCACTTTCATATTTTGCATGCTTCAAATCTTCAGTGTTTCTAAATAAAATATTACAGTTATAAAAAAACGCGAGTTCTCACTAGTAGTTTGGTGCAAGTTGTTAAATATTATTAAATATTATAACGGACCAATTGTTACACATTCTGAAGCATGTTTATTAAAGTGTAACATGTGTCATCCCTGTGACCGACGGTAGAAGAATGGCAATATTCCAAACATTGAAAGTTTTTATTTTAAGAGCAGATTTTTTGTGATTTTTCATTAATATTGAACAGCAAAACATGATATGTAGCATAAATAAAACCGGATTTGACTGAAAGTAACACCACCGACGAGTATTCTTGTTTTCATACCAAAAATGTAGTTGTAGTGTAAATATGGAACGGGTTGCATATCCAATATCTTTCGACTTTCTTGTAAACATTCATGAAGTCAATTGCTATACATTATATAATGTAAGATATGCTACAGTAGCAGAAGTCTATAATATAGAAATACATCTGTATGAATATCTATAATTATTATATATTATACTCTCCTGACAGTATCTTATCCCTTGCACCACTTTCATTATATTATATGATGCCAGGAGTACATGTACTTGTCACGTGTACACGCACTAACGCACTGACGCACGCACAATGCGTTTGCTTGCATGCGTGCGTCTGGGCGTACGCGCGTGTGTGCCTGGCTGCGCGCGTGTGTGCGTGCGTCCGCGGGTGTTGCGTCCACGCGTGTGTGCGTGCGTGCGCGCGTGTATGAAATCATAACTTATGAAACGAATATATTCGCTCTATAACAACCAAAATGACAAACAACGAAGTAGAATCATTATGCGATTTATATTCGTCAGAAAAACATTTGAAAACAATTCGCGTGTCGAAATCAGAATGCGCTCACGACGTCTTATCTCCAGATCAATAGCAATTTGCACCAGCGTAATTATAAAATACGAGATTAAACGAACGAGGCGCATGCTCAGGCGCGACACTCGCCTCTCTCTCTCTCTCTCTCTCTCTCTCTCTGGCTGTCTCTCTCGCGCTCTCCCTCTATCTCGCGCTCTCCCTCTCTCTCTCTCTCGCGCTCTCTTTCTCTCTCTCGCTCTCTGACGTTGTAACGCGCGACTGTCGCACTGCAGCGGCCGTTACCAGTACTCCTTACGCTTACCAAGCTACAGTAGCAAAACGAGAATTCAATCCGAAAAAAAATATTCCTGAGCCTTCCGTGTAGCAACGTACGAGTGTTCGTGTAAAAACGTGACGCCCTCTCGGGGGTTACCCTAAATTTACCCTGAAGATGGTGCGCGCGTTAATAATAACACAGTAGGGTTAAGAATCCGCGAGATTTGAGGATAACTGCCGCACGATGGCGCCACGTACCGCAAGACGAACGCGCTGCGATCGACATTGATTTCTGGCTTCATTTAAAGTCTGTACATGCTCGAAGAAAATTACCGCCACGCGTATATACCCTGCTCTCGCACGCACTCGATATCACGCTACAAAACGATCATGTCGACTCCGCCGTCTAGGGTACGGCGGAGAACTGATCCCTGACGACGAAAAAATGACATCTTCGGAGGCGATCAATTACTAATGGTGCTTCAAACGCTTAATCCGTGTCACGCGCCTAACCGTAAAGTAAAAGTGAAAAACCGGTGGGTTTATAACACGCGGGGAAGGGGTGCGGTTCACATCCCCCACACTAAAACACGACCAAAATAACGAACACCAAAGAAGAAAAGAAATTTTTTTTCTTCAATGTCAAATTCCGCACTCGAATATACATCGGCCACATCCCTCATAAATGTCCTTGACCGTCTAAAAATGTCATTGAACGTGTAAAACGTGTCAAAGTCCTGCTCGCAATAACTAATAACCTCTTCTATTAACAAAGGCAGTAAGCTCGTTATGATTGTAGATGCTACGTGAAAGCGCTGCAAGCATAAACAGCAGCAGAATGTTGCGAAATGTTGCAAGATGTGTTGCGAAATGTTGCATGTAAACGAGAAAATGTCTTTTGCAGGTGTACATACGTCCGTTATCCCCGCGCTGCTGATAAAATAGTGAAATTTATACGGGTATAGATAATAAATAAAAGAACTAGAATTAAGTTATTAGTTATAGTTAGTTTAGTTATTAGTATAAGGTTTTATTATTTCCTAGTTCGACCTCGGTCCTCCATCCCTATTGCGACAATGATACACTGGCTTTAAGCCACTACCACTTGCTCACATAGTTTGGGCGTACACATGGATTGTTGGATTGGACAGTAAGCTGGATGTTTCTACCGATCTAGTAGCGCTAACCAAATGATGAGCTTCAGCACATATTAAGTCTTACCGACTAACAGATTCGGTAGAACGCATCATGTATAGAAGAATCTGCTCTCTCTCGCTCTCTCTCTCTCTCGCTTGCTCTCTCTATATATATATATATACTCTACTCTCTCTCTCTCTCTCTCTCTCTCGGGACTGCCCTCTCTCGTCATCTCTCTCTTCCGTCTTGCTCTCTCTCACCCGTCTCTCTCTTC